TAACTGGAATATCCTTCACCCAAAAAAAATATCTTCATTTGTACGTTTGTTGTTCATTAGTTGATAATATAGTATAATAGACTATCGTATAACATATATGAATTTTTTTGAAGCATGAAATATAGTGTAATTACTTTGTTTATTTGTTTCTTCTTTTTTTTTTTTTTTTAATTTAATTTTTAATTAAACACGTTTTTATAATAAATGTGTATTTCAGTGTCATGGAAAATTTCGTATTTTATTTTAAATTCAACATTGTTCAATTTCTTTGATTTGATAATATTTACATAAATGTAAATAAAATATAATATATAAAAATACAATAGAATTCATTAATTACATTATATGGGAGTCTATTATATTTATAATAATATCAATCGAAATATTTGTATTTTTTTGTTCTATAAACACACATACACATATGTACAATAAAATTACGGTTTTAGGAATTTCTCAAATAAATTTGTCGAATAAAAAGAAAAGATGTGTGACATATATAAAATAGCCAATAATTTTCTTGACAAAAACTTTGATATTATACAAATAAATATGTTTGATTTATAAATGAAAATAAAAAAAATGACAATGATACATTAATAAAGTCAAATGAATAATTATGCTGATAAAATGACAAAACAAATATTTCGTTTTATATTTTTAATATTATTGTCCAACTTACAAAGTTTATTTTTACAATATCTTAATAGTATGGTAATAATTTGTTGATCACAGACGTCACGTTAATATGAATAAATTTATTCAACAGATGACAAGAGTCGTCTACATCTACTACATATGCAAATTGATCGAGCTATTGGATACGGTATTTTTTGTTCTTAGAAAAAAAGACAAACAAATATCGTTCTTACACGTTTATCATCATTCTATCATGCCTTGTGCCAGTTGGATTGGTGTTAGATGGTTACCTGGTGGTCATGGAACATTTCTTGGTCTTATCAATTCGTTTATACATATTATTATGTACAGTTATTATTTGTTATCAACGTTTGGCCCAAGAATTCAGCCATACCTTTGGTGGAAAAAATATCTAACGAGTATGCAATTATTGCAGTTCATAATAGTTGGTTTTCACGGAAGTCTAGCAATATTTAACAACTGTAATTTTCCAAAAATTCCTAATGGCTTAATGATAATTAACGCCATCGTTTTTATTTATCTGTTTGGTTCGTTTTACGTTCAAACATATAACACATCGTTGAAAGTTGAAAAAAAAAGTGAATTGAATAAAACCGATAATACGATAGAAAATAAATTCGATTGAGTTATCAATTGAAATTAATTTAAATCAGAAATATATTTTATTTTCTGAAATTTTTATATATATATATATATAT